GTTGACAGGATTAAAGAGTCATGATTGTCACATATTTATGAAAAGACTAATTCCAATAGCTTTCAAGGAACTTCTACCAAACTTTGTTTGGGGCGCCATTACAGAGTTAAGTAATTTCCTTTATGATATTTGCTCAACAGTGTTAAAAGCATCACACATGAAGAAACTGGAGAGAGACATTCCAATTATTCTTTGCAACTTAGAAAGGATATTTCCTCTATCGTTTTTTGATTCAATGGAGCATCTCTTAGTTCACTTACCTTATGAGGCCAAAGTTGTAGGTCCCGTCCAATTTCGATAGATGTATCCATTTGAGAGGTAAAAATTTTTTCAAAATAAATTTCAAAAAACTTCATTATATATTATGTTCTGATAAAATTCTTTCTATTGCAACTAGGTTCTTATATCATTTGAAGAAAAAAGTGAAGAATAATGCATGTGTTGAAGCTTTAATTTGTAATGCATATATTGTGGAAGAAGTGACAACATTTGCATCATACTATTTTGAGCCGCACGTGCAGTGCAAGAGGCGGAGAGCAGGAAGAAATGATGAGGGTCCCATTGATCCCAATTGCAAATCATTCTCTATTTTCAATTATCTCGGTCGACCAAGCGGCGCATGTAAGTTTCGTTGCTTAACAGGCGAAGAACGGCAGGCAGCCCATACATATATTTTACTGAACTGTCCAGAAGTGGAGCCATACTTCGAGTAAGTATATATTTGCAAATATATGTATTGCATGTCAAATATTTACTAATATATAAATGTAAATTGTTAAGAGGATTTTTCAAAATTCAATGTATGGACTACCACCAAATGAGTTTGACCGTTTGTGCGATGAACAATCTGCAGCATGGTTCAAAACATATGTAAGTTGTCTATAGACCAAAACCAAGTTATTAATATTTTATACATCATTTAAATATATATTATTGACTTTGCATGTGTGACCTTAGGTTCATAGTAATTGTGATCAAGTTGAAGAGCAAGGATTGCTATATTATCTGTCATGGGGTCCAAAGTCAAGAGTATAAACTTGGCCAGCATATTTCATAAACGGGTATAACTTTCACACTCAAGAATATGGAATGGGAAAAGCCACAATGAATAGTGGTGTGTGTGTTCGGTCATCCAATGGTGGCAGTTCAAAAGATGATTTTTATGGCTTGTTGGATGAAATCATGGAGATAGAGTACCCCGGACCATTAATGCAGGTTGTGTTATTTAAGTGCATGTGGTTCGACCCCGTCAAAGGAATGAATGTGCATACGAAGTTTAATTTGGTTGAAATAATTCACAAGAAAATGTATATGAAATATGAACCATTTGTGTTGGCACAATAAGCAATTCAAGTATATTATGCATCATATCCTAGCTTGAAACGTGACAAAGCTGATTGGTGGGCTGTATGTAAAACCAAAGCACGAAGAAAAATTGGGGAACACTGGAAGGATACAGCATATCAACAAGAGAAAGTTTGTAACACGGTTCAAACTGAGGAATATAACATTTCAACTCTACGAGATCCATGTGGAGCAATGATGATGTAGATCTAACTGAAATTCGCAAATCAAATTTAGAAGGTGTTGCAGAATCTGATTTTGAGACAGAGGATGATGAGGATGATGATGATGATGATGATGATGATGATGATGATGATGCTCAAGAAGAAGATGAAGATCAAGATGAAGACGAAGGTGAAGATGACAAGAGTTTATTATTATTAGATTTTTGAGACTTTTTACTAATTATGTCGTAATTATTATTATTATTATTATTATTATGACAAGAGTTTATTGTTGTTGTCATATTTATTATTATTGTCGTTGTCGTAATTATTAGTATTGTTGTTGTTGTTGTTCTTATTATTATTATTATTATTATTATTGTTGTTGTTGTTGATTATTATTATTGCTATTATTGTTACTGAAACGTTATTGTCGGTAAAAAAAATGAATTAGGCGTGTGTGGGCTAGTAGAAATGAAATTCGTGGCAAAATCCGTGGCAAATTTGCCACGGATTTAGCCACGAATTTCAAAAAAAATGCCCACACACGCCTAAGTCATTTTTTTTTAAAAATCGTGGCAAAATCCGTGGCAAATTTGCCACGGATTTAGCCACGAATTTCATAAAAAACGAATTGGGGGCATTTTTTTAAAATTCGTGGCAAAATCAGTGGCAAATTTGCCATGGATTTAGCCACGAATTTCATAAAAAATGAATTGCGGGCATTTTTTATGAAATTCGTGGCGAAATCCGTGGCAAATTTGCCACTGATTTTGCCACGAATTTTAAAAGAAAACGACTTAGGCGTGTGTGGGCATAATTTGCCACGGATTTAGCCACGAATTTCATAAAAAAATGCCCATAATTTGTTTTTTATGAAATTCGTGGCTAAATCCGTGGCAAATTTACCACGGATTTAGCCACGAATTTCATAAAAAGTGTCCACACACGCCTAAGTCATTTTCTTTTAAAATTCGTGGCAAAATCCGTGGCAAATTTGCCACGAATTTAACCACGAATTTTCAAAAAAATGCCCGCAATTCATTTTTTTATGAAATTCGTGGCTAAATCCGTGGCAAATTTGCCACGGATTTTGCCACGAATTTTTAAAAAAATGCCCACAATTCCTTTTTTATGAAATTCGTGGCTAAATCCGTGGCAAATTTGCCACGGATTTTCAAAAAAATGCCCGCAATTCATTTTTTATGAAATTCGTGGCTAAATCCGTGGCACAGATTTTGCAGCGAATTTTTAAAAAAATGCCCCCAATTCGTTTTTTATGAAATTTATGGCAAAATCCGTGGCAAATTTGCCACGAATTTTTTAAAAAATGCCCCTAATTCGTTTTTTATGAAATTCGTGACTAAATCCGTGGCAAATTTGCCATGGATTTAGCCACGAATTTCATAAAAAATGCCCACACACGCCTAAGTCATTTTCTTTTAAAATTCGTGGCAAATTTGCCACGGATTTAGCCACAAATTTAAAAAAAAATGAATTGCGGGCATTTTTTTTATGAAATTTGTGGCTAAATCCGTGGTAAATTTGCCACGGATTTTGCCACGAATTTTAAAAAAAAATGACTTAGGCGTGTGTGGGCATTTTTTATGAAATTCGTGGCTAAATCCGTGGCAAATTTGCCACGGATTTTGCCACGAATTTGATAAATAGGCTAGTAGAAATTAAATTCGTGGCTAAATCCGTGGCAAATTTGCCACGGATTTAGCCACGGAAAAAATATTATGGTTTGCCACGACAGTTTTATATTTCGATTCGAATTTGCCGCGATAATTTAAAATTCGTGGCTAATATCATGGCAAATTAGCCACGGATTAAAGTTTTTTTTTTGGTAAGGTATCCACGGATTAAAGTTCGTGGCTAATTTACCACGGAATTAGCCACGAATTTGAATCCGTGGCTAATTTGCCACGATATTAGCCACGAATTTTTATCCGTGGCTAATTTCGGCGGAAATTAGCAAAACGGCGTCATCTTCATTTGCAGGTAGAATTTAGGGTTTCTTCTCTGTCTCGATCGACCCATTTAGGGGTTTCGCCCCTTCCTATTCTCCCTCATAAGTGTCTATGTCTCTGTCTCTGTCTCTCTCTCTCTTGATCGAAACGATTCTCGGCGACCTTCGGCGTTCTTTGGCGGCGGACGCTGGGAAGCGCGAGGACACCCAGCGCGAGGATCGTCGTCCGAATTGCTTTAGTGGTACGTTCTCGGCGTTTTAGAGGTACGTTCTCTAAATTTTTTAGCCACGAATTGCTTCTGCTTCTGCTTCTGTTGTTTGTGTTGGGATAGATGTTTTTGCTTCTGTTGGACGACTTTGCTTGGGTTTGCTGTTGGACGTTGTTGGACGTTGTTTGTGTTGGGATAGATGTTTTTGCTTCTGTTGGGTTTGCTTCTGTTGGGCGTTCTTCTGCTTCTACTGGGTTTGCTTCTGTTGGGCGTTCTTCTGCTTCTACTGGGTTTGCTTCTGTTGGGCGTTCTTCTGCTTCTGTTGTTTGACGTTGGGTCTGCTGTTGGACAACAGAACCATTGTGTTGGGTCTGCTGTTGGACGTTGGGCGAAACATATTGGGTCTGTTTCGCCCACGAATTTCATTCTGTTCGTGGGCGAAACAGAATGGTTCGTGGGCGAAACAGAATGGTTCTGTTTCGCCCACGAATTTTATTCTGTTCGTAGGCGAAACAGATTGGGTCTGTTTCACCCACGAATTTCATTCTGTTCGTGGGCGAAACAGAACCATTCTGTTTTGCCCACGAATTTCATTCTGTTCGTGGCCGAAACAGAATGGTTCTGTTTCGCCCACGAATTTCATTCTGTTTGTGGCCGAAACAAAATGGTTCTGTTTCGCCCACGAATTTCATTCTGTTCGTGGCCGAGTGGAAACGAGCTGAAATTTGGTCGGATTTAGGTTGAAATTTAGTTGGAATGAGCTGAAATTTGATCGAATTTGGGGTGAAATTTGGTTGAAATTTGGTTGAAATTTGGTTGAAATTCGTTTGAAATTTGGTTGGAATGAGGTGAAATGTGGTCGGAATGAGCTGGAATTTGGTCGGTCAAGTGGAAACGCCCCGCTGATCCAAAAACACGGCCTTTGGCCATGACGCAAGTCATTTTTTGGCATTTCGGAGTCGTTTACATGGGTTTTTGATAAAAAACCATTCTGGATTAACAGTGTTTTCGATTCGGTTTTAGTTTTTTTTGGCGTTATTTTCCTTGTGCCTCTCACTTTCTTTCTCTTATTTTGTTTTATGTGTATTTAGCTTCTGATAATTGACAATAACGAACTTTGAAGGTTAAAATATCCTATTTCTTGTTTCTGTGAGTTGTTTCTGGTTAAATATTTCGTCATAGTGAAAGCAAGCTTATTTAAGAAGATGTTGCTCCACGGAATTGTAAAATAAGGGTAAATTGCTCAAAGAGAAATGTCAGGAGGTGTCATGGAGTTCATTCTAAACCTGGGATTAATCCTCTTTCCAGATTTCATCATCAAAGAGTGCCTTTAGTTATCTTAGTGTGTGGGACTGCCTGTGTTGGTAAATCTACCATTGCAACACAGCTTGCTCAGAGACTGAATTTGCCAAATGTCTTCTAGGTAATAACTTTCCCCCTCAATTTCATGGAGTTTTCTATGAAAACAATTTGTCTCATAATTTTCTTTCTATTTCGAAATTCCATACATGCAGACGGATATGGTATATGCGCTTCTGAGAACCTCAACAGAGTATGCTTTCGCCTACCACTATGCTTTTGTTTTTGTTTGGCATGCTTTCAGTTGTGAAATATCACAATGAGCTAGAATCTCATGCAAAATTTACTATTAGTCCAGTCCTGTTTGGGCACGAGACTATAGTTCATCCGAGGAACTGATTACAGAATTTTGTAGAGAATGCAGAATTGTTCGTAAAGGTAATCTCTCTGATCCCTTTCTCAGCTTTTTCATACTATACTCTACGTGAATGTCAATAGCTATTTTCTGCTCAAAGTTTACTTTCAGTTCCATTTTAGCAAGTGGTCGTAATTTCTGTGCTATTAATCTATTCTCCAGAGCTTAGTTACCTAGTCATCATTTAAAATTTTGATCGGACTATAGACACGTGCAATTTCAGTTAGTAAACACCCATTTGGAATCTAGTTCATTCTGGAGTCTCTACCTATTGGTTCAATCAATTCTATTGAATACATGTAGGGGAGTCTTGTCAAGTCATTTTTCATATGTGGTTATAAACGTGGAATGGTGTATATGGCTGGGGGCTTTGTTCTATTGATGTTTCTTTTGGTGTGCTGTAAGTGTGCTTAGTTGTTACTTATCGATTTTAGATTGATTTCTTCATTTTAGTGAAAAAAATTGTAAATATAAAAAAAGAAAACTGGAATAGCATGTAAGTGATATCGTATCTGCATAATAAGCTTCCTATTTGTTCTGTTGCCTATTTTGGCTGTCAACATCATTGATCATTTTCCGGAATACTGCCTGTTATTGCAGTTGTACGACCAAAAATTAAGCTCGTAGACATTTCCGGACAGCTTGCTTTTTATCAGGGGCCAAGTTTCTCTCTTGCTCTCAAAAACAAAATGGTAAGCTTCATGACGTACGTCATTATGTGTCCCTAATACATGTTCATATTTTTTAACATTTTTGTCTAACCTTCCAACTTTTTAGTACAAACGTGGAGGTCACATGCGTCGCGGTATAGCTTCACAAAGAAGACCAGGCCCTTCCCCTTCCTCGTCCTCGTCCCCGTCCCTTTCCTCTTCCCTTACTCTTTCATCTAACCCTCAACCAGTACATGCTGATGATGGACACAATGGCCCTTCCTCCGACCCTCAAATGCGAACTGAATTTACTTCAGTTCCATTGCCTTCGGTTCCACCTTCTTCTTCAATGCAACACTCAAATGATGAAGAAGATAGCCGATTCATGATATCCCCATTGGGAGATTCGTAAGTACTTCATTTTTTTAAGTATATGTATATTATTTTATTATGGATGTCAACCGAATTGTCCGTATGCTTCATTATCCATATCGTTATAACCCGTTTGCAGATTCACGGATGCTACGTATGCTGTGAGGAAACTTAATAAAATAATCAATAACTGTTGGATGGGGCAATATAGTAGTTGGACCACCGCTCCAAAAGAAGTAAAGGAATTATGGTGGAATGAGTTCAAGGTAAGTTTTGTCCTTCTATTTTCTCACAAACTAAGTTCGATTTAGCATACTTAGTGTACAATTATTTTTCTATTGATTGCTTGTAGCGGAAGTTCAGGTGGGATGAAGCGGAAGAGAAAGAAGTTAGAAGAATTTTTAAGAAGAAAGCCGGTGATCACATGCGAAATGTGATGAATAGAGCAAGGAGAAGTCAAGAAAAGCCGGATTTTATTACAGCTGATAATTGGGCGGAAATTAAGAGAACTTGGGACACCGAAAAGTATAAGCAAATCAGTGAAATAAATAAGAAGAATCGAGCTTCTAGTTCTAGTGAAGGGTCTGCCACATATGCTGAGGGCTCTATCAACATTGGGGAGCATAGAAAAAGAATGGTAAGTTTGTTAAACATGTTGTAAGTTAATTCAATGATTACTCATTTATGTTTATATTTTGTAGGCAGATGAATTGGGGACGGAACTGACATTTATAGCTATATTTGAACGCACATTTGAGAAAAAAGATAAGACATGGACTGGCAATTGAGCAAAAGCTATTAAGGTATGTAAGGTTATATTTTGTATTTATATATGTGAAGTTTTTTTTTATTTTCATCTATATTGTTAATGTAGGACAAATATGATAAACTTGTAATGAGCACTGCTGCTGCTAGTGGTGATAGTGATGGTGATGGTGATGGTGTTGCTGCGTCCAAGCCATCGGTTGACAGTATGGCATTATGGGTGGAGGCATCGGGTGGAATGAGAAGAGGTCAAATATTTGGGATGGGATCCTTGTCAAGGTTATACACAACGCCGGCTGCTGCAACTTCATCCTCCAGTGCGGCTTTTTTAAGGAGGACACAACACGAGGAGCAAATGACCCAAGAATTGAACCAACTGAAACATTTACTTGTACAGAAGGACGAAGAAATAAGAGGAGTGAAACAACATTTGCAATTGATCATGCGACACCTCAACCTCGATCACGATGACGTTCCTCCTGTACCTCCCACTAATCCAGTAGGTGATGGGCACAATGATGATGATAATGAGATTGCTGATGATGATGCTGCTGATGATGATGATCCTTGCTAGTTAAAATTTCCAAGAGGTAATTCTATCATTCTTTATGCTTTTGCTGTTGAATAGATGTGAAAAATTAAGAGGGGTTAGGAGTTTGATATTGTGATGTTTCCGCTGCAGATGGACAGGACTTCGATTCTTGGAGAACACTATAGACTACGTGACTACGTGAAAGAACTTCTTGGCAAGATCAACAGTTTGCCACAAGAGAGCGAACTGGCTAATTTAGTGCTTTGTTCCATTTCTTTCTTTTTTGTGTTTGTTCTTGTCTTGACTGTGATTCTATCAATGTTAAATATATACTCTATAATTGTTGTTAATTAGATTTCAAATCGAAATCGTCCCTAAACAACATTCGTCGTAGACTTCGTCGCTAAATTATTCATTAAAATTCGTCCCCAAATTCGTGGCAAAAGTCAAAATTTTTCATGGCAAAATACTGACCAAAAAAAAAATTTGGTGGCAAATTAGCTACGAATTTTGCCACGAATAAGTTCGTTGCAAAAAACTGACAAAAAAAAATATATGGTTGCAAATTAGCCACGAATTTTGCCATGAATAAGTTCGTCGCAAAAAACTTAAAAAAAAATTTTGGTGGCAAATTAGCCACGAAATATGGTCGTGGCAAATTACCCACGAATTTTGCCACGAATAAGTTCGTCGCAAAAAACTGAAAAAAAAAAATTTGTCGCAAATTAGCCACGAATTTTGCCACAAAATGTGTTCGTCGCAAATTAGCGATAAATTTTGCCACGAAAATATTTCGTCGCAATTTAGCGACCAACAAAAAAAAAAATTTGAAAAAAATAGCGACGACTTTTGCCACGAATACAGTTCGTGGCAAATTAGCGACGAATTTTACCATGAATATTTAGCAACGAATTTTGCCACGAATAATTAGCGATGAATTTTGCCACGAATAATGTTCGTGGCAAATTAGCCACGAATATAGTTCGTGGCAAATTAGCCACGAATTTTGCCACGAATAATTAGTAATGAATTTTACGATGAATTTTTTTTCGTCGCAAATTTGCCACGAATAATTAGCGACGAAAATTGAAATTTTCTGTCGCAAAATTTTGCGACGGCCTATTAGCGACAAATATTTTTCCGTCACTAATTTTGTCGCAAATTCGTTTAGCGACGAATTTTGCCAAATTTTTCGTGGCAAAATTCGTCGCTAAAACCAACTTTTTTTGTAGTGAGTTTTCCCAGTATGGTTAGTCAGAAACTAGATTGGGAATGGCTTAAATATACTTGAAAGATCTTTAGTGTGAAAAGATTTGGTAATTTTGAATAGTTGTCGTCAAGAGCTATTCATGTGTATTAGACATCAAAATGCTAACCTTCCAGGGTAGGCTTCCAAATGGGCTACAAATAGCCATGAAGAGACTATCTCAAGGCTTGGGACAAGGTGCTGAAGAATTTAAGAACGAAGTCATACTGGTGGCGAAGCTTCAACATCGAAACCTTGTGCGGCTGCTTGGGTTCTGCTTGAAGGGTGAAGAAAAACTGCTCGTCTATGAGTTTGTGCCGAACAAAAGTCTTGACTACATTTTATTTGGTATGTTGTGTTTCAATATATTCCAAAGCTGTTGCTTTCCCTGTTGAGAGAGTATGTGATTAGCCCCATAATTATGTAGAAAGTTGGTTTGCATAAAATCTATTCAAGAGGATATACTAAGCGAAGATACCCGCATTCGAATTGTGCATACATTCAGATCCTGAAAATATTCGACAATTGGAATGGTCGAGACGTTACAAAATAGTGCATGGAATTGCTTGAGGAATGATCTATTGACATGGGGAATCTCAATTTCGGATCATTCATCGCGAGTTAAAAGCGAGCAATATCTTGTTGGACGGTGAAATGAACCCAAAGATTGCAGATTTCAGCATGGCAAGTATTTTCGGAGTCGATCAAACACAGGCAAACACTAATAAAATTGTGGGGACTTTGTAAGTATTGTTATGCTTTGTTCTCTACTTTTTATGCTTATATATACATATATTGCTGATGTATTACGATTTGCAGTGGTTACATCGCACCCGAGTATGGAATGCATGGGCAGTTCTCCATGAAGTCCGATGTCTATAGTTTCGGTGTCCTACTTCTTGAGCTCATTGGTGGTAAAAAGAATAGTTTCTTCTACCAAGCAGATGAGGGCAAAGTTCTCGCTAGCTATGTAAGTTGCACAAATTGACTATAACTAATAAGAATATATTAAACAAAGCAGACTCGACATACTGAAATATTTTCTTCAAATGAATTGTTTTGTAGGCCTGGAAAAATTGGAGAGACAATATGCCATTGGAAGTGTTAGATCCAGCTATTAGAGACTCGTATTCAAGGAATGAAGTTCTGCCTCCACATTGGTTTACTATGTGTTTAGGAAGATCCAATGGATAGACCCACAATGGCAAACATAGTTCTTATGCTGAACAGCTACTCTGTTACTCTTGCATTGCCCCAACAACCGGCCTTCTTCCTCCAGAGCAGGACAGAGAGACAGATGAAAGAGCTTGAATCAGACCAATCCACCAACAGGTCTATGCCATTGTCAACCAATGAAATGTCGGTCACCGAAATTTACCCCCGCTAAATGGTAATGTGAGTGGAAATCTTTCTTCATGATAGTCTCACAGAGACCTCGATCATAAGAGCCTTGGCACTCCACTGAGATCATTAGTAAACAATGAGCAAACACCTCTGTCCCGTACATCTAATGGTACAAAGTGTACTTTCTTTGAGGCGAATCATGCTTTGACCCACTAGGCACGGTAGGCTGTTTACATTAAGATATATATGTGTGTGTGGTCTTATTGGATCATGGAATATAAGTTCTTCCTTATCTGAAGAAATAATTAATTGAAACGACTAGAGTTTTATTAACTATCTTTTTTTACGATTCTTTTCATGATATATGAGGAGATATATTGGTTTGTACGTAATTCACACCGCTTTATTTTCTGTCACGTTTATTAGAAATCGAAGCCATAAACCTCACCTCCACATACATTCCTTTCTATGACCTGCCTAGTTACTCGATTATAATGGTTGGTGGTTGCTTATGATGGAACGACTCGCAACTTTGCGCGGATCCTTTCGTCCATATATTTCCTCATGTGTACACAAGAATAAACATCTCTCTCTCTCTTCCCGATCTATACACAGCCACAAGTCCACCGATGCCGGAGCCACTTCAGCCAAACTCCATGACTGATTAGCTCTTTCGCTGCCATCATTTGTATGTCTCTCTCAATCCGAGAACTTAGCCATGGCCTACAAGGGGCGGAGCTAGTCAACGAGGTTCTCTATGGATGGCAAGGGCTCAAATGATTCTAGCGTTGAGTAGCAAAACGGAATGATGGGGAGGGAGGGAGGGAGAGTGCAAGATATTAGGCCGATGATCGGACAAGTCTAAATTAGATGAACATGCATTAATGTTTTAACATCCTATGGAGGGTTGGCGTACAAAATAATGTATGATTCCACGAACTCAGTTCACGGGAACCTATTTCGATTAATACAATTGGATTATATGAGTCTCACGTAAAATCTACTTAACGTCATCACTTGTCATTGAGATACATGAGTTACATATTTCTTGACTTTTGTTAGTCAAGTCTTCATTCAACAAGAGAATGCAACTCACGCAATTCACCTTATCAATGGTTCCCGTTCATCTTTTTCTCTTTCCCCACCTGAGTTTTGATGGCCTAACCAATAATAGAGCGTGAGCATAGATCATTTGAACGTCCGAAGTGCAAGTGTTTGGCTTTCGTATTTATGACACATTCTAAGTCCCAAAGTTTTAACAAGTGACAATTATCCTCCAAAGTTTTTCGATCGATCAATACAGCAACAACACAAAATCTTAAAAGCCCATGCCTCTCTCTCTCTCTCTCTCTCTCTCTCTCTCTCTCTCTCTCTCTCTCTCTCTCTTCACCTCCATCGTGACTCACACATCCCTTGTTAGAATAGTACAAAATTGATGGTTGAAGATTGAGCACGTTGGCTGTTGAGCTCAGATTTGGTTGTTAGTATTCTTCAAAGAATGCCTTGATTTTTGGTGGGTGTCAAAAGAAAAATGAAAATGAATCGGTGAAGCATGATTTATGGTAGACGCTTGAAGAAGATTAAAGACAAAAAACTTACAAAATATTTAATGATGAAAAGCTTTTGCAGCATGAAGACAAAGAAAGCTAACAAAGACCATTGAAGAGTTCTCCACGCTAATGCATTTATTGTGACTTTTATCTGACTTTGTTTGTGTGCATTTATGGTTTTTTTTTCATTTAATGTTTGTCAAGTTATGTACATCTCCAACCACTATAAAAGGTTGTGAACTTCAGATTTGTAGTTACACTGAAACGAAAAGCATTTGCATTTCAATAAGTTCTCCCTCCGGTCTTTATTTGTGCCCTGTTCAAATGTCCAAAAATTGTCATTGTTCTTTTTGTATCCAACATTTGGTATTAGAGCTAGAAATGAC